CAAGTCTATAAGGGTACCTAGAATAGGATGTAAAGACTGAAATAGATCTGACAACAGAGTCCAAAATGCATAATTGGTTAATACCTTTGCAGAATTGCAGTTTGTTTGAGAAGCTTTCCTCACATTTAGTCAAAGTGGTGGTGCAGTTGAAATTAGTAGATGTCTCTGATACATTGCCACTGTCTTCATACCATCTACCATAATCACTGCTGTTAGAGTATCCCATTGCCATGCACGTCAAATCTACTTCAACTTTATTCCATGTACTGGTGCAAAGCATTTTCCAGCTGCTGTTTGTATGGATTTCCATTGTACCAACTGATGGATTGCTCTCTGTTTTAAAGCGCAGTGGAAATACTGATGAAAGAAATGATACAAAAGGATATGTATATCTTGGGAGGCCCTCTTCACGATTCTACAAATTTTAATTATTTTGCTGATGATTGCCCCAAATAGGTACTTAGTTTCATATGTTAATACTAATTCTAAGAGAGTTAGAAACATAATCATCAGCCTGAAATGAAATAGTATCTTTCAGGACCAGTTTAAAAAAAGAAAATAATTGATACTGCTCACATCAGACATCCCATGCTATTCTATCAAGAAACTAAATATTTCAGTAGTGATTGACAAGAAATTTAGCGCTAAATGTTTACGGATGACAACAGTGCACACTGTGATGAGGATAATAACAATATAAATGATAATACTAAAGTAACATAAACATTTGCAATAATAGTAATAGGGATTGTATGATAATAACCAGGCAGTGTGCACACTCTGATTGTGTTGCATGATGGTTGTAAAATGAAAAGTGAGTCATTTATATCCTGTCGCAGTTGAGTGAACATCTCTAGTGGCAGCAAGATAGTGCAAATAGATGTTGAATATAATGGGGATTCACTGCTGTTGCCATTCCTTCGCAAGTTAAAAAGCGTTGGCAGGCCTGCGCAACTCCTGTTATTCCTCTGTGACAAACTTGTTGTTAGGAGGCAACTGAAGAGATTCAGAAAGAAT